TTTTTTTTTTTTTTGACAACGCTGAGTTTATTGGTTAAGGTAGTGTACTGCTATAAGTTTTTAATGATATAAACAAGAATTTAATGGCGAAATGGGTAATAGAAACTTTAGAAACGTTCTAAATTATCCTGCGGCTTAAGAATCTATCATGTAGTTTGGAAAAAAATTACTGTACTTAATACTATTGTAGTGGATGAGAAACAACAGAATTTTATTTGTCACTCTCGCTTTAAATTATTGCAGTAGAACTAGAGTGTAAAATATCTTTTTTTTTAGTTAAACACGTTGATCGCCCAAGTAGCCGAAGCTAATCGTGAAGTTTCGGAGAAAGAAAGTACTAACAATGAGCTGAAATCAGAAAATAGTCAGTTGAAACTTAAATTAGAAAGTATTCAAGTAAGTTATTGTTTAAATTTTCAACGAGTAGGGAGTGTGTATGAGAAGGAATGGTTACTTTTGAGATTCCTGTTGTAAATCAGAAGTTTACTAGACCTTTGAGTAGTTTTCTAATATATTTATCAAGCTCATCGTATTGTTCAGAGTATAAGATAGATTGTAGGTAATCATTTTGTTTTTTTTTTTTTTTTTTTGACGTAGTGCTTGTTGTTATAAATTTATAATGAATTTGAAGTCAAGTATTTTGCTGTTTAGTCTTTTGTTCAATTTAATTAACGGTGCTGTTAGGGCATTTTTTTACCTTTTTAAAATGTAATTTTTTTTTAGCAGATACAAGGCCATTTGAACAATAATGTTCATGAGCTTCAAGAGGAGTTACGGTCGAAGAAGAATGAAACTGAGGGACTTAAAAATGATATTGCTAAACGGGAAGATGAAAAGAAGCAGTTGGAAGCTTGTGTTCAAGAACTGGAACAGGAACTGAAAATGAAAGCAGCTGCGTTGCAAAGTTTAATGCTTGTCAAAAAGGTTTATCATTATTTTGCTGGTTGTGGTTTTGAAAGAGCTGTTATTATTCAAATTGATTTGTTTTTGAGTTTCATATTTTTTAGGAGAAACCGGCTGAGGATCCTACTGTTTTGACATCCGAAAATAGCAATTTAAAGAAGAAAATCAAAGAGTTAAATGATGTTTTATCTGAGAAAGAAACAGAGTTGACAAATGCCGTGGAAGAAAAAACTAAAGTGAGTATATTTTTGTTTTATTTTCTACCAGTTCACTGTAGATGCGTATTGTTAAGATGTAAATGGTTTTTGACTTTGTGAAAGTTTTGTCAAAAAGCATTGCTCGTTTTAATTCTTTAATCTTTCAATAGGAACGCATAGAACTTCAAAAAAAGTTGGATGTAATGGAGGAACATTTACAAGCAAATGAAGCTCAGTTACGGCAGAAGGATAATGAGGTATTTTAAATGTGTAATTAAATTTTAGATCAATTTTTTTGCGCTTTCTAGTTATTTCTGTAAGATGCCGTATGAGGGTGAGTCTTAAAAAGAATTTTTTTATTGTGTTTCTTGAACAAGTGGTTCAATTTTCAGCTTAACGAAATGGCCAAGAAGCTTTCAGAACAGGGAGGACATATCGAGTTACTGCAGTCATCTAGTGATGAAAGAAAGAACAATCTGGAAATTATAAGGAGAAATCTAGATGAGAAAACAGCGGCATATGTAAGTGTAGAATATAATAAATGGCTTTTTATTCAAGGAGAGTTGGTATATGAATGCACTAGTAAATATGCAAATTACGTGTTGAGTCTTGGCTTTTTTCACCTGAATTTACTTATCCTATTTCTCTTCTTTTAAGTTTACTTGAAAAGATATGCATCAGTTTTTAAATGGTAGTTTTTACCATCAATTTTTGACTTCTAAACAGCGGTTAGCTTTTATTGGAACAAATATACTTTTGTAGTATCCTGCAAAACTGCTATGACGCAAAACTTTCAGGACACCCTTACACATGAGCTTGATCAATATAAAAAAGCTGTTGAAACAACTGAGGCTTTGAAAAAACAATTAGAAGGAGCCGAAAAGACAATTAAAGAACTTAAAAAAAAGTTAGCTGTTAAATAGTAAATTTTTTGTTCTGTTTTAAATATATAATGGAAAAAATAAGGTATTTCTGTCTAGCAGTTTAGGATAATTGTAATGAGGAAAATGATTTTATGAAGGTTTTCCACTTTGAAGTCATTTTCTTCTAATGTTAGACAGGGAAACTTTTTCGTTTTCGTTACAGAAATCAGTCTTTGCAAAAAACAAGCGATGAAAGAGCAGAATTTATTCAAACTGCTGAGAAACAGGCAGCACTGGACACTTCGGTATTAGGGGAGAAGCTGAAAATTTTAGAAGAGGAAATTTTATCACTTAAAGACGAAAAACGAGTAAATCATCTTTTGAACCTTTGTAATTATTTTTCTTAATGCATTTAGAAAGATTTTCTTGCATTACTTGCGTGACAGATAATTTTTAGAAACTAATGGAACAGTTGAAAGAGCAGCAAACGAAAACTTTGGAAGCCGAAAGTGACTGTACCACTTACAGTGCTAGAATATTGAATTTAGAAGCTGAGGTTAAGAGGTTGAGCTCCCAAGTTGACAAGAGTCATGATGCTACCGATGAGGTGAACTAGATAGATAATTTTTTAGCTCAATAGAAGCATCACATGATTACATATTTACATTTACGAGAGGCTTTAGTATTTTACGATAGTTTGTTAATATTTGAATTCATTTTGAAATTTCGCTGGTCACATGGGAAAATGGTAGATTTGATATCAAAGAAGGAAACATTGTATCAATCATTTATTTTTTTTTTTCAGGTAAAACGACTGCAAAAGGAGTTAGAGATGGTAAAGAAGGAGAATGCAACTTTAGTTGACGCTGTCGAAAGTGCAGAGGCAAAAGCTGACGTAATTTTCAACAGTTTTTGTCTACATCTTTATTTTCTGAGCAAAGATTAATAAGTTTCTCTATTAAATGATAATGGTGGAGATATATGGTTCTCTAGTTCTCTCAGTTACACGTAGGCTTTTTCTGGGTTCATCGTTACTGTGTTATAGGAGTCTGAAAGGTCAAACCGGGAAACGATTGAGGAGCTTGAGGAGGAATTAAGGTTTATGCAAGAAAAAATGTCTGATTTGGAGCATTTAAACGAAGGCTATAAAGAACAGATGAAAAAATTAGAGGACGAAAAGTCAGTTGTAACTGAAAAAAGGTTTGATTTGTGTTTTATAAGACTTTTTTTTTT